AGCAGTGGGATCATAAATATTGTCACATTTACCTAAGCAAAGGTTGTTAATGCACAAAATTACATTTTCTTCCATCATGCTATGTTTCCAACACAAGCTCAAGAGGTAAAATTGCTCATGCATTCTATCCAATCTTTCATAGCTCAGTGATGCCGTATACTTTCAGCTCACAGAAGTTGTGTTTCATATGATGGGAACTGTATATGATGATTGTTATTAGAAGGGGATGACGGCTGCCTGACAGAAGGAACCTGCTTGTAATTCAATCCTTCTGGAAGTTCTGGAAATTATCTATTTCAGCAAAGCTGAAAGTATGACAAATTACAGTTCCTCTTCTCAAATGATAACACAGCGTCTTTTCCCAATGTCACTGTGCCTTGGACTACCATATATGCACATGTTTAAGTCTAAAACCTTTAGTCAAAAAATCAACCCAAAAATCCTGGGTCAACTTATCAATGGGTCATGGTAAGGACTCTACCTCAACATTTATATATATATATAAAAGGAACCATTTCCTTCTCTGAGTGAAATGGTGAAAAACAAAAACTTGGGAAGAACCTAAAAGAACAACGGGGAAATGGTAGAGGGGGCCTGGATCCTTAGGTGGCATCAGTGCTTTGCCCTCTTCTCAAAATGACTCCTGCGTTATCCATGGACCATTTCAAAAAAACATGATTTACCACCTCATCACACTTACAGCCCCCCCCCATTTGACAGGCAGCCACTGTAGACTTATTGGGAGTCATGGCTGCCATCAGACGACTTCCAGTTGTCAGTCTGGCCTCCCCATCCCTGTCCCAGAACTACAGAGCAATCGTGAAATTGGACAGATCTATAATCACGGGGAAAAATCAAGAATTTAGCCAAAATAGCAATAAGGATCCATTATTTTGGTTCAAAACAACATGAGTGGGGTCTGTGACACTCTGTTTTGTTTTGTAGCTTACCATGGTGAAAAGGGGTATTCAAATGGGCAGTCCTTAGCAGCAAGCTGTCATCCCTCTTTACAGAAGTGCAAAACTCCTTCCCTTCACAAATTTCTATTTTAAAAAGTTATTAATGACAGATATAGCATACAGTAGAACAGAGAACAGGCAGTTTTCCTTTGCTGGTTTGTTCCAATTAAAATATTGCACTTAGAAGAGAGCTATCATCCCTGTTTATAGAAATGCATGGTTACTCCTTCCTATGGTAAGCAGTGGTTTAAAACAGCTGTCTAAAGGGTCCAGTGGGTTTTGACACAGAACTATTGGATCCCATGGAAAGCAATGGTTGAAAACAGCCTTCCTGTCTCAAGGGTCCAATGTGTTTTGGTGCAGAACAATTGGATCCCATTGAAAGCAATATTTTAAAACAGCACCCCTCTCTCAAGGCTCCAATGGATTTAGATGCAGAACAATTGGGTCTCATGAAAAGGGATTCTGGAAGATTTGCATGAAGAAAAAAATCTGGGTGCAGATTGTGTGATGAGGAAGATAGTAGGTGTCTACAGGGAAGCACCAAAAGCCTGATGAGAGGAGAACAAATGAAAATGAGTGAGGGAGGACTGGAAGGTATGATCAGCTCCCGATTCCTCTCTTACTTAACTTAATGATGTCTCTCAATACTGCTGTCTGATAAGGTTGTTAGGCCCCCAAACCTGTCCTCAACTCAATGAAGACTACTTCTACACTTACCCAATACTTGGGCCCTATCCATTAAAGTGGACATGCCCCAGGTTACCCTGGGTCAGCCCCATGTGGCATATAGCTGCCATTTCTATATCATCCTAAATAGTCAATGCAGATGTGGCTGAGTTCACCTTACACATGAAAATATATGGTATATATTATGCTCAAATGAGCTATCAAAACTGCAAGTAATGAGTTAAAAGTAATGGTGCAATTCATTTTTTCAATTATAGAAGGCACTTTAAATTGCTTAATGAAAATGATGCAAATGTTAGAATTCTTGCATCATATTTGCAGAAATGTTACATGTGTCAAACAAAGTGCTAGCCATTTTTTAAATCATAATTGTACTGAATATAGTGGGGAAAACACACCAGTGCTCTGTTGACAACAGGATATGAATCTCTTGCATTAATTGTGAAAAAATACAAATGTAGTTCTCATAAAAATGATGAACGATTCTGAGAATGATTCTAAGCCCTAAACACCCAGAAGGGTTACAGGCCTGTATTATTATTATTATTATTATTATTATTATTATTATTATTATTTTCCAACATTTTTACCCCGTCCTTCTCAACCTCCGGGGGGGGGGGGGGGGGGGGGGAGGGGTCTCAGGGTTGCTTACACTCGGCACAATTCGGTGCTACAACGTACAAACAAATACAACAAATAAATCAACAATTTAAACAATAAATAAAACACATTGAATTAAAACAAGTTAAAAACATTATTGCCAAACCATTTAGCTATTTCCAGTCCAATTCAATATCCAAAGTGCTGTTATGCCTGTACATGAAAGGTCCACTGTCAATGTTGCTGATTCACCTTCCTTGTTTTCTGTCTTTCCAGAAAGGAAGTTGCATGACTGAACACTGCAATTCTGAACATGGCATTTTCATGGCCCTCAATTGTACCCAATTCAGGGATTCTGCTGTACCACCTCAGATGAACTTGTGTCCCCTAGATATTATCAGACAACATCACCTATTATTTGAGATATTTATTTACTTATTGCATGTATTGCATTTATATACTGCTTTTCTCACCCCTGTTGGGGGGGGGGGGACTCATAGCAGTTCACATCAAATAAATGGCAAAAATTCAATGCCTCATCTAAGATACTATCTAAGGCTGGTGCAAGTTAGATTTCAACAACATCTAGAGCACAGGTTCCAATTCTCTGGAATATATGCTTGCCTATCTTGCAGGAAAGACCTGGCTACTAAGAACTTCTTCTGATTTGCTGGCTCTTCTCTAATCTCTTTCAGTTCTCTTAAACCAGAGGGGTATATTTTCAGATAGCGGAGAACATAAGCAGATTCTCAGTCATCAGCACCATTCCCTGACTTTTCTCCAAACAGCAGTAAAGAAATTACATGTTTTTTTTCTCACCGTGTCTTCCTTCACCTTAATTTTTCATCACCTCTGCATTTCTACAAAGTTTCTAAAGCCAACACATCATGCTCCTGCTGTTCTATAGAGGAAACAAGTTCACCTGTGCATTTTCTGTCAAAATAAAGATGTCAAGGTTTTTCCCCCCCCTACACTTATTTTTTTTATTTATCTTGCCCTTCGTAGCAGAGCTCTCCTTTGTTACTCACTGTGCTCTTGTTTTCTACAAAGGTATAGGAAGAAGGCAGCAAGATTAGAAAGAACAAAGGTAGCAAGATTAGACAAGCACTTTAAGGGAATTAATTGCTATTTTGTGGCAAGGAAGAAGAAAAAACGCCACTCTCAGCAGCCAACGGAATTTGCTTTGACTGGGAAAGTGTCAGATATTCACCTCATTTCCCTAGTACTTTATTTTAAAAAATGTATCCTGTGGCTGCATAAATCAGATGAAGGACATGTTCAAATCAATTTCTCTCCTTCCCCCTCTTCCTCTTTTCACTTTCTCTCTGTTGTGGTTACTGCACATTCTGTTCTGTTGCAGTTCAGTCTTTGCTCTCCCACCTGGATTTTTCTAGGTTGTTAGCAAGAATCCTTTGACTGCATGTGTGCATTTGTCTGTATATGTTCACTCACCCTGAATTCACCTGTCAACCTGTGGTGATGCTATGAATTTCATAGGGCTTGTTTAGGAAGGAATATGCTTCACCAAATTGCTGGGAGAATTACAGTGGAGCCTATATTTGCCTGAAATGAAAATCTTCCTTCCCTATTTACCAGTGTTGTGTATGCACAAGCCTTCAACTTGCCTGTCAACCTATAGTGATAAAATGAATTTCATAGGGTTTATTTGGCAAGGAATACTCAAGAGGTAGTCTTGCCAGTTCTTTCCTCTAAAATACATCTGAAAGCATCCAATATTCATTGATGGCGTTCTATCCAAGTACTAACCAGGACTGACCCTGCTTAGCTTCCAAGGATTAATCAAGACCCAGTGCCTTTAGGGTGATTAGGCAGGCAATGGAATACCTCCAGTGTCTGGAAGGAAAGAGTTTGGCAACTCCAGACAAGAAACAATCAGGGACAGCTAATCACTTCTCAACAAAGGATCCCTCCAGGCAGGAACAAACCACACCTAAAAACTGTCAGGCCATCAAATGCTAATCAAGGTGGCCAATTGAAACATTCACACCTAGCTCCAACAGACTTTCTGTGGAAAGTCTCCCACCCTGGACTTTCCACAGATATATGAACCCAATTTTACTAGTTTCCAACAGACCTCACATCCTCTGAGGATGCCTGCCATAGATGCAGGTGAAACATCAGGAGAGAATGCTTCTAGAACATGACCATATAGCCCGAAAAACCTACAACAACCCAGTTTGGCATATTTTTTGTAATATTAATTGTGGGGCTGATGTTCTCAGAGTGCCCCCCCCCCCAAGGATTATTTGATTTAGGACAGAAATCAAGCATGCTCTATGCTGCTTTCATGCTGCAGAAAGGCTTGAAGCTATACTTTCAAATGTACAGCACTCTCATCCCCCCTCCCCTTTCCAGGGTTCTTATCATAAACTGAATCCAAACATTCCTGAGAACTTCTCTCTCATGCACATACTCTCTCAATCTCTCTTTCAATCCTTTTCTCTTTCAATCCTTCTCTCTCTCACACACATCTAGAAATTTAACTTCACTATAGCATGACAATGTGACACTGAGAGAAATTTCATGAAAATAGCTCCAAGGTGGAACAATGATTCTTTCCTGCAGACTGCAGAAACCTTGATCCAAGCCTGTGAGTGACAATCATGTGAAAGCGTTCAGTCAGGATGTTCTATTTTCAATTTGGCAAATGCTGAACTTTTCTGAACTTGTCATGAAGTTCTATTTTCCTCCTTCTCCCTTCACACCCCTCCTTCTCCCAAGCATTCCTACCTATGAAGAGATTCCACTCGGTATCCAAATCAGCCTGGTTGGCAAGGCAGCCCTTCATTACGTTGAGGCAGTAGTTGTTGCAAGGTTTCACAGTGGGAAGTCCCCGGCAGTAAGGGCAGTACAGCATCTTCATTAGCGCACGGATGCATCCTGGGGTAGGGCTGACCTATAAAGTTTAAGGGCAGGAAAAAGCAAACAAATAGAGTCAATTTCCTATTTTTATCTGAAGACCTGAAGAGTGAAAAACACAGCTCTCAGACAGTAAAACCACAATTTGTACTTCCTGACAAGAACATAGCCCTTCATATTATCTTCCTATGGAACCCATCCTGCCAGTTATTGAAGCTAGCATAGATATCAATGATTCCAAGGTATGTGGCAGTAAACACCTCAGTACTGTTATTTGTGATATTTAAAGGCCAATTTCCTTTGCAGACAGAGCAATTCATCCATCCCTAAGTATTCATTCTTGTCAGCTTGCAAATGATTTTATTCAAGCAAGACTTAAATTGTTTAAACATAGCAAGTAAATTTGGGCTGACAGATATCTATGTTAGCTTTGATAATTGTCAGAATATTATAGATTCTACATAAAGTTTTTGTGAAAGGTTATCTTCTACCATGGTTTAATGTTTTGAGCACAGAACTAGGACTCTGGAAACAAGGGTTAAAATCTCTACTCAGTCACGGAAACCCATTGGGTGACCTTAAGTAAGTGACACTCTGTCAGCTTCAGTGGAAGGCTAAGTTAAACTCCCTCTGAATAAATCTTGCCAAGAAAACCCCTTAGGGTCATCTAAGTTAGGAATGACTAGAAGGCACATAAGAACAACAACAAGTATCAGTATGTCACTCACACATAGTTCTGGATTAAATACCCATGGGTATTTCAATTATTACTTTAAAATGTATTCTCTCACACAACTAATGACATTTTGTTAATGTCTAATATATGTTATGTCTAATATATGTTATGTCTAATATATGTAATATATATGCGGGTGGTGACGGCCGACAGGGAGCTCTGGCGTGGGCTGGTCCATGAGGTCACGGAGAGTCGGAGACGACTGAACGAATGAACAACAACAATATATGTTCATGACAGATTGTCCTAATACAGTGAGACCATCTCTCAAGGACTTTCATTCTGATCAATGCATTAGTTCAGGGAACATAGATCAGTTCAGTTCACTTTGAAAGGTGTAAAGAACAAAACCTTCCTATTTCCTTAATTCAGGAAAGCAAAACATCAGCACACTCCTGGCTGACTCTGGGCTAAAGCAAAGTTAAAAGGGTCACATCAATCTGCTCCATGTTGTAATGCTTATACTAGTATATAACTTTGAAGCAGAAGAAGGAAACACACATATACATACAATGGATTAAATGCCATTCTCTATAATGCTATTTTTAAAAGTCTGTTCACCCAGGATCCGTTTCTGGAAATATTGAGTGTATTTTGGTTTGTGTTTACTGGGCTACGCAATCATCCTTTCAGCTCCATATGCTCTCTGTGTTTCTTTGACTCATTATCTTAGCGGAAGGCAGTCACTTCCCGCTGACTGTTTTGCAAATATTAGGGAAAGCACATGCCATTTAGCAAATAATGATGTTCTGAGGGTTAAAAAAATCCTCTTGTTTTCTCTTTCTTTTAAAACTAAATTTGCTCGCTGCTTGACACAAAATACTTGTTTCCCATTGACAATTGCTTATCTTTCCCAAGTTCAGTGCAATGCTGCTGGTTTAGCTGAACAAACTTGCAATTTTCTGGGCTGGGTAGTAGCAAGGGGATGATCGAGAGATACACAGTTCTTTAATCTCCCAGCACTAATCCCTGGCTTTCAAAAGTGAGGATGTTGTTCCATGTCTTCCAGTGTATGACTGACAGTTTTAGCTATAACAAAGTTCTTCCCTGCCCAGTCTTCAGCTTCTTTCCTTACTGTCCCTGTTCTCCCCCAGCTGCTGTGCTTGAATTCAGGAATGAGTATCTCTGAGTCAGGAATGGTTCCTTTGTCTGCAGGAAGGTGAATCAGTTCTCCAGTGTGGTCTGAACAATAAACAGTCAGTCCAAGATTCTACCTGTCTTAGAACCAACCTCTGTTGGGTGGAGAAGTCTATCAATAACTGCAAAACTCATTGGGAACTATATTTATTTATTTATTTATTTATTTATTTATTTACTTTGCTTATATACCGCTGTATCTCAAGCCCGAAGGCGACTCACAGCGGTTCACAAACAGTAAAAACAGTAGAAACAGCAGTGGTTCCATACAACATATAACAATTGACTTAACACATTATCCATAAATTACCAATAAGCAATTACAATGCACAATTATTACAAAAAACAACCGTACCCAATCTTCTCATCATCCAAGCGTAGTCCAGATTCGACGTCCATTGTTCCATTCCTATGTTCCATTACCAGATTGTACTAAATTACTCAAACGCCTGCACAAACATCCAGGTCTTCACCTTTTTGCGGAATACCATTAGAGATGGTGCTAGTCTAATGTCCGTAGGAAGGGCGTTCCACAGCCGAGGAGCCACCACCGAGAAGGCCCTATCTCTCGTCCCCGCCAGCCGAGCTTGAGAAGCAGGCGGGATCGAGAGCAGGGTCTCCCCGGAAGATCTCAAAGTCCTGGTGGGTTCATAGGCAGAGATGCGGTCAGATAGGTAGCTTGGGCCGGAACCGTTTAGGGCTTTAAAGGCCAACGCCAGCACTTTGAATTCAGCCAGGTAGCAGATCGGTAGCCAGTGGAGTTGGCGCAACAGGGGGGTTGTATGCTCCCTGCGCTCCGCTCCTGTTAAAATCATGGCTGCCGAGCGTTGTACTAGTTGGAGCTTCCGAGCTGTCTTCAAAGGCAACCCCACGTAGAGAGCGTTGCAGTAGTCTAAACGGGATGTAACCAGAGCGTGGACTACCGTGGCCAAGTCAGACTTCCCAAGGTACGGGCGCAGCTGGCGCACAAGCTTTAGCTGTGCAAATGCTCCCCTGGTCACCGCCGAACCCTGGGGTTCCAGGCTCAGCGATGAGTCCAGGGTCACACCCAAGCTGCGAACCTGCATCTTCAGGGGGAGTGCGGCCCCATCCAACACAGGCTGTAACCCTATGCCCTGTTCGGCCTTGCGACTGACCAGGAGTACCTCTGTCTTGTCTGGATTCAATTTCAATTTGTTCGCCCTCATCCAGACCGTCACAGCGGCCAAGCACCGGTTCAGGACCTGGACAGCCTCCTTAGTAGCAGGTGGAAAGGAGTGACAGAGTTGGACATCATCCGCATACAGATGACACCGTACCCCGAAACTCCGGATGATCTCCCCCAGCGGCTTCATGTAGATGTTAAACAACATGGGAGACAATATTGAGCCCTGAGGAACCCCACAAGACAATGGTTGTGGGGTTGAACAGGTGTCCCCAACAACACCTTCTGAGATCGACCCTCCAGGAATGACCGGAGCCACTGCAAAACAGTACCTCCAAGACCCATCCCTGCGAGGCGTCCCAGAAGGATACCGTGGTCGACGGTATCGAAGGCCGCTGAGAGGTCCAGCAGCACCAACAGGGACACACTCCCCCTGTCGAGCTCCCGGCGCAGATCATCCACTAAGGCGACCAAGGCTGTCTCGGTACCATGTCCCGGCCTAAAGCCAGACTGTGCCGGGTCTAGATAATCCGTGTCTACCAAGAATACCTAGAGTTGTGAGGCCACCACACGTTCCAAGACTTTGCCCAAGAAGGGGAGATTGGAAACTGGCCGATAGTTGTCGAATTTAGTGGGGTCCAGTGATGGTTTCTTCAACAGCGGTTTTATTATAGCTTGTTTTAAGCTCGCTGGAATCTTGCCTTCCCGAAGGGAAGCATTAACCATATGGATAATGGAGGATGAGGTGAAGTTTACAGCTTGCAAATATTACTTTTAGAGCTCTGATTTCTAAACCCTCCAGACAACAGGTCCAGGAGACCTAGACGATTTGGGAATTTGTAGCCCAAAAGGTAACTTTTCTCAACTCTGGACCAGACATAAACACCCATTCAAAGTAATACATGCATGTATGAGTGTATGGACACACATAGACACACTTCTAAAATCAGGTGGACATGAGCTGATGTTGAAGTATGTTACTTTACCCTGACTGGGATCACTGTTTCCCCAATATTTAAAGTAGTGTCAGGATAGTAACAGGTTTGTTGTGAGATCTCCCTGCATTGCCTGGCTATTGTTTAACTGGGCATTAACAGTGTTTGCATTTTATCCCCTCAATGAACCCATCATGGTGAGATTGGCACTTTAACTGTTAGTGATCACTTCTATTTTTTAAAAAAATTAATTGATATATCCATTCCATTAACAAACTTTTGCCTTATCTCAATACACCACTTATATATGACCACTTCTGTTAACTACATTTACAGTATCCATCCTTGAGTGTTACAAACACAAGTCTGTCGCCTAATTTACAAGAGGGTGTCCTAATTTACAAGAGGGTGATTCATAGATATCAGCCCAGTATAACTATGTGCTCTGCATGTTTTCTTCTATAAACAGTTATTTAGTTTCATTCATGTTTTACATCTTTGCCAACACAACGAGGTGGGAGTAGGTGCTAGGGATATAATCCTTACTAGTTGCATTCTTACAGGAAGTATTCAGATAAGTGCAGAAGACGTCAGAAAGCAAAGAGTGAATACGACACTTAGCAGATTAAAAGTAGGAGACAGGTTTACTGGAAAGGTGAACTGGCCTGTGTATAAAGGCTGTTTTATCTGATGATATTCTGAATTGCGCCTGGGATGCACTGATCTGGACACTGAAGGAAATATTTGGGGTTTTTTTCTCTGTTAAATCTAGAGCTGGCATTTAGCTCATTTGGGTAATTACTGGTTGTGTATTGGTGAACAAGTGTGTGTAGTTGGTTAGCAATATGAGTGAATTCGACATAATGACTGGGGGCGGGATATTGGGAAAAATTGGGGAGGGGGAAGTATATAAAGGTGGATTTGGCTTGCTTTAATTTTCAACAAGGAACTCTTATTTTACCCACAAGACTCTCCTCATATTGCAGTAATGGACTGAGATGCTACTTCATGAAGATGTAGTGTAAGTGTTCTGCAGGCAGAAAGATGTCATGCTTCCTGCTTCATTTTCTTATAAACCTACCCTA